GTTTTCAGACTATATTATCCAGTGGTTGTTGAGATATTGATATCGAATTTTGTCGAATTTACTAGTAAAATGAGCTGGGCCACTCGCTTGTGGAATACGTTAGTTAGTTAGTTAACTATCTAATAGTTATTACATCGTGACGAGATGTTGTGGTAGCTTCGAGAGGTAATGAATCAGTGTCAATCAAATTACTTTCCTATATGGTAAAGACCAGCAAAGCAACGCATCAAATAATCACTCCAGCAACGTTGATTTCAGAGTAATTAATAGCGAACCATAACTCCGCGTAACAATAGAAACATGCTGATCCCTGACTTTGAATACCAGTTAATAGAGGACCCCGTACTTGTGTATTACCGAACTTGGACGATACGCCGGAAATATTCTGTAGGGGTATCCATATGGTGCTGCTTCTTCAAGTTCAGCCTAGCTTACTCTAACTTACGGAGAACTTACGGACATACGGAGATGCTGTTTAACTTACCTTCTGGGTTCGATATAGTTGATAAGATGTGGATATTTGCAGCCTCTTCGATTTCCGCAATTTGTCAGGCTCTGACAAATCTTCCCCGGACCAGAGCCTATCCGAACCAACCACTACGACGCTGACAAAAAGACCAATGTTGGATTCTGTCTTCAACTTCAAACATGTAGGTATTGAAGGCTTCTTGGGAGTCTGACGTGATAATAATATGCGGCCTTTAGAAGTCAGGGCGGGCCATACTCGAGCCTTCAGTAATCTCGGATGAACGCAACTTAGAGTTTATTCCTGCCCAGCTTTAAACATCATGTCGTCTATCGTTGCTGTCGCCGGTGGCACTGGCGGCCTTGGCCGTACTATTGTCGGAGCCATTGTCGGAGATGGCAAATACGAAGTCATTGTTTTAAGCAGGAAGGTAAACAACCTAACCCGCCATCCGCGTACAATGACTGAACTCGATATATAGGCCGATGCAGAGAAGGAGAAGGAAATCGGCGTCCGCATTGTTCCCGTGGACTACACCAGCGTTGACGCTCTGGTAAAGGTCCTCGAGGAAAACAAAGTGGACACCATCCTCGCAACTGTGAACGGACAGGCCGATCCAGAAGTTAATCTTATCGCCGCAGCCGACAAAGCCACATCAACCAAGCGCTACGTTCCCACCGTCTGGGGGGTGAAAATTCCGGATGAGTGAGACATATATATTTTCATTCCCTTAGGTCATGAGGACTGACTCTATTCAAGAATGGCCGCCCTATCTTCCATTTCCAAGGCCAAGCATGCCATTCTTGCTGCTCTGGCTGGCACCACATCACTCGAATATACAGTATGGTATCCTGGCTTCTTCAGCGACTACTACGTTGCACCGAACGTGAAGACTCACATGTCGATCATCAACGTCGTGATAGACGTGCCTAATAACACTGCTGCGATCCCGGGATCTGGCGATGTTCTCGTGGTGCTGACGCATAGCTCCGACATAGCGAAATTCGCGGCGGCATCGCTTGCGCTGCCGAAGTGGCAACCGGAAACATATCTGATCGGCGATAAAGTCACATGGAATGAGGTGCTTGCTATCGCCGAGGAGGCCAAGGGAGTCAAGTTCCAGGTGGCCTACGATTCGATCGAGACTTTGAAGTCGGGAAAGGTTACTGAGCTTCCAGGCAACGTCGCAATGTATCCTTTCCTGCCCAAGGAGCAATTTCAAAGCATTCTTTCTATGTTTGGGATCTTGTTTTCTTCTGGATATTATGATTTCAAGCCAGAGCATCCCATCAACGAGAGCTTCCCAGAGATCAAGACAAGGACTGTCAAGGAGCTGATGACCGAGGCTTGGAAAGGAAAATAGCTCATAGCTCTGTAGTACTGTAGCGTTATGCGTACGTTGAGGGGCTGGTAATTAGGAAATTGCAGACAAGTCCATCAGATGCCCTCTGTGATGAGCTTGGCTCTCGCACCAAACTGATGCCTATGGTGCCTGTGCTTTTAACCGCTGAGAAGCCCAAGATCAGATGTTCAGTGGCTCCAATCACTCCAGCCACTCCAGTCCACTTTTGTACAGCGAAGGTCGGGTATTCAGCGTTCGGATCTTGACAGTGACGGTAACAGCGTGTTACAGAAATACGTGTAGGAAGCCTTTCGAAGGTATCCATTGTCGCTATAAAACTAGATCAACCAGCAATCAAGCATAGCAGATGTTGCCTTCGCAACATCTGCCTAATCTTCACCACTTTTGTCCCTTACTCGTTCGACTTCTTTCTCTCGATCTCTCCACTTTCGCTGCTAAAGTTCTCGTCCCTGATGGATTCGGATTCGCCGTCCCCCTCTCCAACCATGGAATCCTTCTAGTGCAAAAGTACCTTCGGGCTAGTGAACATCTCGTGACTTGAACCATAAAACGCTATTGATGATCGTAATAAAAGAGGAGCTCAGACAAAAGTTGCATAAGAAGTGGCGACATTTGGATAGTTGTCGTTTTAAGTAAAAACTAATTGCCCCTTTCGCAAAATGGTTGAGTGTAGGCGAGGAGCGCGGGAACCAAGCCCGTGGTGAAGTCAATTGGAAAATTCCATCTCTTCTGGCAGGCTTAAAATGCAGCAAATATGAGCAGAGACAGTGTCTCTACAATTGATAAGAGATGGAAGCTAAATAGCGAAGAATAAGAGACGTGGAATATTTGCGAAAGTTGTCGAGATACAAAGGGGGACGTCTCTGCTCCTTTCGCTATTATAAAATAGGCCTGTGGTGCATAAAGGCAACCTTTCTGCCCCAAATCATCACGAGCGTAGCTAGTACGTGATCTCTGCCTTCCTAGAGTATACCTAAGGGAAGCTTCTGTTTGAGTAGAATCACCATCCCTCCCCCGTAGGACTACTAATTAATCAAATATTCTTAATCATGAGGAGGAAACACGGAAATAGCCGAATCGCTCAAAAATAGCATCTTCGCGACCAGTGCATACTTCCTAATTAGGAAATCAAATGATCCCCTTTTCTCATCAGATTGTCTAATCGTACAGTGATGTTTTGATCCTGATCTCGCGCCACATAAACCACCTTGCTTATAGCACTCACTCTCCGCCTTCCGGAAATCCTCCGCATCTATGTCACCCAGCTATAAACGCCGTCCCTACCGTGCCGCCTGTAAAGGAAGAGGAATTAAGGGTGACGATCCGACTGCCCGTCCGAGATCCTACACTATGTTAACACAGCGCGATTGATTCAAATGATGTAAACAAACCTCTGCCGTAATATGCTGGTTCTCCCTCCTGCGCGCATCATCCTTCCGGAACTTCATCGTCTCCCTCTCCGTGCGAGGGTTCAAATCCTGTAAATCGAATGGAGCCTCAAACATGATCCCTCGAAGGCCTTTCACACGGGAGACTGCCACGTAGGTCAGGCCAGACGCGAACTCCCGCTCCGAAATATCCAGCACAGCCCGTGCTAAAGTCATTCCCTGCGACTTATGCGTTGTGATGGCGTAGGCGATGGTTAACGGGAACTGTGAACGCGAGTAGGAAGTGTTCTCGATATAGAACTCGCGGCGTGATGGGAGGATTGGGACCAAAGCAAAGCCGTCTACGACCAACGTCGGTCCATCATACCGATCGAATTGAACGAGGAGTACGGAAGGAGGATCCTTATGGATATCAGCACCAGCCTGCCAGCTAATATCACGCACTGTTTCCATCGCACCGTTCACCAGGCCTCGTTCGGTCCAGAGATTCTCTGTCAATATAACACGGGTTCCTAACGCCATCGGAATCTCAGAATAGAGGTTTCCTGCATCATCAGTCGGAGCCTTTCCTGCCTTCGCCCCTCCTTCGTGAATTGCTCGACACATTATGACAGGAGAACGGAGATCGCGTAAGCGACGATAGTTAAACACGGCGATAGGCACTTTCTTACCGAAGATACGGAGAGCGTCCCGGAACGATGCCACCTCCTCAGACGGAAGCATGGCCTGTACTTGTGTACTAAGCAATGTCCAGTCGTCACAAGTTGCGGAGCCTATCCGCAGGTGATCGAGAGCCTGGCGGAACTGAATCGACTCAACGTCATTGCCCTGCTGCCGAACAGCTTCATCAAGCTTGATCATTCGCTCGAATTGGTAGTAGATATTACGCCCATGCCGTTCATCTAGATTTAGATCCTTCTTCTGGTTATAAAGAGCAGTTGCCAAGACTGGAGGAAGCTGGAAGAAGTTGCCACAGAGGAGAATACAGAGACCGCCGAAAGACTTGTGTATGTAAGGAAAGATCTCGCGGCAACGACGGTCAATATAAGAGAGCTGGCGAAGGCCGATCATAGATTTTTCGTCGATGATCAGATACCGTATAACTCGGAACTTGGCCTGAGCGGTTTGAAGAGCAGCCGGCAGGAGGGGATCGAGAAACTTGACATCCCGAACAGGAAAACGAAAAAGAGTATGCGGTGTTTTACCGTATCGACACCGCCAGCAGGTCTTAAGACGACGCCGTCCGCGATGCTTTGAAGTAAACTCCTCATCCAGCCTCCAATTCCTGCAATGCTTGCAATAATGAAGAGTGACCCGGTGCAAATGGAAGACGGGGCGGTGGCGGCATGCCACCTCCAGGGTCTCCAGAAGGCATAATTAGTATGCCATGAAAAGCAATTGTTGGCGAGAGAAAGAGGGGCAGATAGGAGGAGGAGGCGACCAATCAGACAACGCGCAGCAAAAAGACCTTGAATCACGTGATTCAAGGTCCACTGACCAATCAGACAGCGTTAAAAAAAATGTCACTCTTCCAATTAAGTAACTCGCTACGGAGTACGCTCGTGATGATCAAGGTGATGTGGCTGAATGTGGCTAAACCGACCAAAATGTCACATGACACATCGTGCTCATGAGAAGCTAATCTGGAAGGGGAAGGCAGAGGCTCTCAAAATACATGTGACCGTGACTGAGGGGTCGAAGAGAGGCCAGGCTTTCCAGTATTACACATCACCGTCTTCAGGGTCTTATATGGATTTGCCAGAAACATGAGAGATGAGGGTCCATCAACTTACGTACTTGTAGGCTACCTGTACCGTACTAGACTGCGATTATTTTGATCCGTCAGGGAGCTCCGAATCGGATAGCTTCGAAGATGTGAAGCTCGTTCTTCCACGTTCCGCTTCTCTCTGAATTATACGAATTTCGTGTGAGACTTGATGAACAATTGTGATGAAACATTATATTTCCAACTGCGCAGATCTGACAGCTCAAAATGACTCTAGGCAGGTAACCCGAACAAAATTACCCTGGCTTCCAGCACTAACTTTGCAAAGGGAAGCATTTCATCAATGACGTTGGAGCTGTCGTCGAGCGGGGTTTGCGCAGTCACTTAACAAATGACGGCAGGCTCAGATTAATAGAATCAGAGAAAGGTGAGAAGTAAACGATCCGTTTGAAAATGTTACGTTGCTTACATTTCGGGGGTAGTTTTGTATTTGCAGCCAAGCTCAAGTAATGAAAAAGTCCATCTAATCTCCGGCGGAGGGTCGGGCCATGAGCCAGCCCACGCGGGATATGTGGGTGATGGCATGCTCGATATATGCGTTGCTGGAAACGTCTTCGCATCACCCTCCGCACCCCAGATCTTGGCGGGATTGAGATCCTGTCCATCAAAGAAGGGGTCCGTATTGACGGCATCAGAATGATAGTTCACGACTGACGAATCCTGAACACAGGACGCTCATGATAGTCAAAAACTACACAGGTGACAAACTCAACTTTGGTCTCGCAGCCGAGAAGGCGAAAGCCGGTGGACAAAAAGTCAATGTGATTGTGGTGGGTGATGATGTCGCCGTCGAAGGAAATACACTCGTGGGGAGACGCGGCTTAGCAGGCGTGACATTTGTGCACAAAATCGCCGGTGCAGCAGCAGCTGAGGGGTAAGTACGGGGGTCTTCACGATTGGTGTTCACTAAACATGTGAAACACACTGGTACTAAATCTCCTTGCAGGAAGTCCCTGGAAGAGGTGACGAAGATCGCACAGCGGGTTGCGGATAGTCTTGTCACTGCTGCAGTCAGTCTTGATCGATGCAGCGTCCCCTCAAGAATAGAGCAGTCTTCACTGCCACAGACTGAATTGGAGTTTGGCATGGGTAAGTGACATATTTGGGATTGCCCATCGAATTCCACTGATTCATGGGGTACAGGCATTCATAATGAGCCAGGGGTCAAGAGGACTGCGATTCCACAACTACAGGAGACAATAAATGCACTTCTCGATATGCTCTTGAAGAAGAAAAACTTCTGGACCCCTGAATCTGGTTCAAGGGTCTCTGCGATGGTCAACAACCTTGGAGGGTTGAGCGTACTTGAACTGAGCGTAGTATCTGAAGAGGCGATGAAACAGCTCGCTGAACGTGGCTTGGTCATCCGACGCATCTTCACTGGGCCGTTTGTCACTTCTTTGGATGCACCCGGTTTCTCTATCACTCTGCTCGGTGTAGATGACGAGTTAGAGAGGCTTCTCGATGCCCCAACGTCCGCTCCGGCGTGGCCAAAGAAGAGCGGTGTTCCCTCCGATCTAAAAACTCAGGTAGTAGAGTGTCATACGCTTGGCCACGACGAAATCTCACAAAATGGTGGTCCAGAATCCGTTTCAGGTACGTAGTCCCCCAAATGTGTTGAGATATTCGGCTGACCTTTGCAGTATCATCTACTGTCGCTACAGAAATCATCGAGTCCATCGCGACATCAGTCAAGAGAGATGAACCTACAATCACCCGCTACGATACCATTGCCGGTGATGGTGATTGCGGTGAAACCCTTCTTGCAGGGGCGGACTCCCTGAAGTCCAGCATTCTACCGCTGCGCGATGAAGGCGTGTCCCTCTCTGTGCTATTCCAGAAGATTGCCGCGGCAGTAGAGACGAGCATGGGCGGTACCTCAGGGGCAATTTACGCGATCTTCCTCAACGCAGTGTCGAACGCCGTTGCCTCCTCTTCAACCTCGCCCGCGGCTACTCTTCCGCAAGCATTGAGGGCCGGCCTAGATGAGCTGTGCAAGTACACCGCCGCACGGAAAGGCCATCGGACATTGATGGATGCGCTTATTCCGTTCGTGGACACGCTCGAACAGACGACTGATTTCAATCACGCATGCGATGCGGCTCAATCTGGTGCTGAGTCGACGAAGAATCTGGACGCATTACTCGGGAGGGCATCGTACGTTGATAAAGGCGTCTTTGAGAAGGAAGGCGGTATCCCTGACCCTGGAGCACTGGGGGTTGTGAGTGTGTTGAGGGGTATCCAGAAGGGGTTGAAGAATGGTTAGTCGTATGCGGATAATGAGTAGCAGTATACTTTGCCAGTTTCATAGCGTCCAATCTAATATTCTTTGCTATGTTATGTTTTCAAAGATAGTGCCATTCAAATAGTCGAAATACATCTTCAAGGACTGTCCTAACGTACGTACGAACGTCGGCTTCAGGAGAGGGGCTCAACACGGACCATGTCCACACCGCAGTAACTTCGGGTACTCTATGCTGATAATTTAGAACATTCGGCATCTTGGAACTCACTCATCTTGCCAGAAAGGAAGGTGTACCCGCTCGTAAAGCAGTCGATTTCTCGGGATCTTCGGGGAACTGCATCCCATCGGCACACCGGAAGGACCGGAACGTGGGGAACGTGAAAATGTTACAGTTAAGTACGGACTACTGGCTAGTTACTGTGTTATGTACCGTTAACGTACCCGATCCCGCCCGGGGTGGAGGCGTGGAGCATGTCTCCTGGCCGATCGGGGGTGATCGATATCCCGTACGCACAGGAGCCGAGTGTTTCGGAACTGGAAGCCGTACCAGGCAACGATGAACGAAATCATAACTATGGGAGAACTTAAGGGTTCATACACTGGAGTCCGGAGATTGTAGGTTGGGGTCATCATGACCAATATTCAATTGAGATGATCCTAATGGAGGGTTGGATTCCCATCCGAGAAGTTCTGGATTGTAGCTGCGGCGAAGTTTTGTCAGATCTCATAGTACAAATATCCTTTCTTCCATTTACCACATACATTAGGTCGGTCTGGAAAGATTTCATGGACCGGTCTGAATGGATTTAGGTAGAACGAGGATGTGAAACATGAAGTCGAGAAGATCGCGGGATGGAGGCGAAGATATGCACATCACGATCCCCTTGAAGGGCTGTCTCTACTGTATCCGGAAGAATCATGATTCTGCTGTTTGATGGCATTTAGAAAATCCCAAAACAATTTGAATGCGTATGGTTCGGATCACAGAGACCACAATTTTCGGCGAGTTGGGTTTTTGCAGAGTGCTTGTGTCGTTCGATTGGCGAGAGACTAGGCGCTTCTGGTTTCCTTAACCGGGCTAGCAGTGGAAGCCATGCACATTCCGCCTCTGAGTCTCAGTCACGCACCACCTCTGCCGTGTTCTCGACTCTCGAATCATACCTAATTTTACTCCCATCTCTCAATAGTCAATTCATGGATACGCTTAGGATTTCCATATTGGATGAGTATATCCCCCATCTATGCCAAAGTCCAAAGTTAAAGGATTCTCGAGCCGCCGAGGTAGATGTATAGATACCGGTACAGTATGAGAAATGCCTTTCTGCTTGCTTTCAATTATTCAATCAAGTCCATTTTACTTCGTTCATGTCATTTCTGTCGCTCAGCTATTGAAATTCTTTGGGATCGTGATCATGGCGCCTTCGGCAGTTCCTAGGGAGATCATCCAATCCCCCTCAGACTACCCCGGTGTCGAATCGAAAGCCGTTGCAACATCACATCAAAATGGAAGCCCTCAGATAGACTCCTCGGAAAGGATAGACAAATCCTTGGGGGAGTTCAGATGTCTTATCGCAGACTTGACCGAGCAGTTCAAGGGCGGTCACCCAGGGTAAGCCGGACTTCTGCCACATCCCGCTGGAAGCCTTTTGAAGTTGACAGTTCCAGGGGTGCTATGGGAATGGCTGCCATAGGTGTTTCGTTATGGAAATATGTGATGAAGTATTCACCCGAGAATCCGAACTTCTTCAACCGGGACCGATTCGTTTTATCAAATGGTCCGTCATTCCCTTGGATGCAGGAGGAGATCTCTGACACAATGCAGGCCACACCTGCCTTTTCCAATACAGCTTTCTCCACCTTACCGGCTACAAGAACATGACCCTCGACCAATTGAAATCATACCACTCTTCACGAATCGATTCCATATGCCCGGGCCACCCTGAGATTGAACACGATGGCATCGAAGTTACTACTGGACCACTTGGCCAAGGCGTTGCAAACGCCGTCGGCCTCGCCATGGCGACGAAGCATCTCGGTGCCACATACAACAAACCCGGATTCCCGCTCGTATCGAATATGACGTATTGCATGATCGGCGATGCATGTCTTCAGGAGGGTGTCGCCCTCGAATCTATCCAGCTCGCTGGCCATTGGAAATTGAACAACCTGGTCATCATGTATGACAATAATCAGGTCACATGCGATGGCTCAGTCGATCTCTGCAACACTGAAGACGTTAATGCGAAGATGCGAGCTTGCGGATGGGATGTCATTGATATTGAGGATGGCTGCTTCGATGTGGAAGGGATCATTGCTGCCCTGGTCAAGGCCAAGGCTAACAAAGAAAGGCCAACTTTCATCAACGTCCGAACGGTTATCGGTATCGGCAGCAAAGTTCAGGGAGATGCCAAAGCCCACGGTGCTGCATTCGGTGTCGAGGGCGTCGCAGACATTAAGAGAAAGTTCGGAATGGACCCAGAGCAGCACTTTTCCATCTCGGAAGATACATACGAATTCTTCCGGGATGGCAAGTCCAAGGGCAGGCAGATCGAGACTGAATGGAACGACTTGGTCCAGAAGTACGCAACTGAATATCCAAACGAGCACTCGGAGTTCCAGAAGCGGGTGAGAGGCGAGATGACGGAGGACTGGAGCAAACTTATCCCAGCCAAATCAGAGTTCCCGACTACTCCTACTCCTTCAAGAAAATCGGCTGGTTTAGTTTGCAATCCTATTGCAGCCGAGATGCAAAGCATGATGGTTGGGACTGCCGATCTGTCACCATCTGTGAACATGATCTGGAAAGGCAAGGTCGACTTTCAAAATGTATGTTGGTATCGAATTTTCCTTTTTTTCTGAGGCCTCACTAACCGATAACAGCCTGACTTGCGAACAACATGCGGAATCAATGGCGATTATTCCGGCCGATACATCCATTGGGGCATCCGAGAGCATGCAATGGCATCGATATCGAATGGGTTAGCAGCCTTCAACAAAGGCACGATCCTACCAGTCACATCCACCTTCTTCATGTTCTACATCGTAAGTGCAATATCCTACCTACAATGACCTGTAGAGACAGCACTGACTCTGACTAGTACGCTGCTCCCGGTGTCCGCATGGGCGCTCTCCAACACCTCCAATGCATCCACATCGCTACCCACGACAGCATCGGCACTGGTGAAGATGGCCCAACCCACCAACCCATCGCCCTACCCGCCCTCTACCGCGCCATGCCCAATCTCCTCTACATCCGCCCCTGCGATTCGGAAGAAGTCGCCGGTGCCTTCATCTCCGCGCTGCAAGCGAAGAACACTCCCTCAATCATCTCCCTATCCCGCCAAAACCTCGAGCAGTACCCCGCCTACTCATCACGAGACGGCGTCCAGAAGGGTGCCTACGTCTTCATTGAGGAGGAAAATGCCGACGTCACCTTGATCGGCGTAGGCGCTGAGATGATTTTCGCAGTCAGGACGCGCGACGTGCTACGTGAGAAGTTTGGCATCCGCGCACGGGTCGTCTCATTCCCCTGCCAGCGAATCTTCGATGCCCAACCGATCGAATACAAGCGCGATGTACTACGGTACCGGAGCAACGCGCCGAGAGTGGCGATCGAGGCGTACGCTGTTAATGGCTGGGAGAGGTACGCGGATGCTGGATACTCGATGAGCACGTTCGGGCATTCGTTGCCGGGTGCAGCTGCGTATAAGTACTTTGGGTTTGACGAGAACAAGATCGCGCCGAAGGTGGCCGAGCTTGTTGAAGAGGTGAAGAAAGACGGAATAGAGGCACTCAGGGGGGAGTTCCGTGATTTGAATGAAGGGCCTCGCTGATCTGTAATTTCGGAAAGCGGGTTGGGTTGTTGGTGTCTTGGTTGTTTAATAGGTTATGAATATATATCACACGTGTGGAAATCACTGACGAATGTCGCATCTAATCTACCCACGGGTGTCCCTTGCACTCAAAGTGCATGTCTCTAGCTCACAGGTTTTCAGTAGAAACACTTCTCATTTTGGCACGGAAGAGACAAGTATCCTCAAGTTGTGGGCTAAGCTCGCCAGCATTCAGAGGCAAAATATTTCCCTCCAGCTCAGGGGGAGATGTTGGATCCGTTTAAATTCGGGGACGTTCGGTCTTGGAACAGCGGCGAAATACAGTGCATTCAGTTCGGCGAGTTCGACGTCTTCGTATTGTTCATGTTTTTGAGCAGGCCGACGACGGAATTTCCTACGGAGTTGGGTCTGCAAGATTAGATTACGATGATGCTGTGAATAACGTCAATTTTTAAGAGAAGAGCATTAAGCTGAGCTGAACTCCCACCAGCATACACCACAAAAGTAGTGGATACAATGCAATAAAAGCGTCAGACCGGCAGCTATACGAAGCACAAGACAAGTAAACATGGAGGAAAGAAGCCAACGACTTCCATTATATGATTTTTCGGTTTTATAATTGGTGAATACGAGTAAATAACCTCAACGCAAATATGAGAAATATAAAAATCCAAGCAAAGTGCTTTCCCAAATCCATTCATGCACCACACACCTCTCCATGCACCAGAGTGAATGGCCGTTATATGGTAACATCATCTCGTTCTTACAGCAATGCCATGACGACCGCAACGGCGCCCAGGAAGCCGCTGACGCTGAGAGCTGCGGCGCTACCGTGGAATTGCGCAGGAGACACCGGCTTCGAGGGCTGGGGGTAGTTCGGGCCGCTCGGCTTTCCGACGGGCGGCTGCACACCGGTACCGGTGGGCGCAATGCTAGCGGTGGAATTCTTCCCATAAGAATGACCCTCCACTTGCTTGCCAACAACAGGAGGAGACGGCTTGGGGACCACTGTCATGGTAACGACAGGGGCGGCAGGCTTGTCACCAGTGACGGTGATGGTGTTGGTGCTATAAGACGTCTTCGAGATCGTCGTCGTTGTCGTCCGGGGCTTGTCTCCACCCGGGGGGTTTGGCTTGGGGTGGTCTCCACCAGGAGGCGAAGGGCCTGGCTTGTGTGGCCCGTGGGGAGAAGTCGCAGGCACCTCAGTCTCAGTGACGGGGCAGACAGTCGTAGTAACGGAGACGACGATCGTGACGACGCGGGGGGTCTTGCTCTCGTTGGGGCAGTTCGGGACCGTGTCGGGGCAATCGGTGATGGTGCTAGTGAGGGTGGAGTAGATGGTTGAGGTGGTATAAGTGGTTGGAGGGGGTGGGGTCACAGAGCTCTCAGGGGCAGAGGAAGAGGGAGAACCTGGGCTAGAGCTTGGCGGTGGTGGTGATACAGTGTTCTCAGGTACGGAGGAAGATGGAGAAACTGGGCGAGAGCTCGACGGTGGTGGTGATACAGTGCTCTCAGGGACAGAGGAAGATGGAGAAACTGGGCGAGAGCTCGACGGTGGTGGAGAGCTGGACGGGTGGTGAGACACTGTTCCGTTGCTGTATGGCGGCCGGGTCGAGACGGTTGGATGATGGCTGCTCGGGCTCGTAGGTAGTTGAGAAGAACCGCCGGTCTGAGATCCAGAAGGACGAGGGGAGTGGCTGCTCTGGCTTCCTGACGGACGAGGAGAGTGGCTGCTGTGGCCTCCCGTAGGATGGTGAGAATGGCTGCCCTGGCTTCCTGAAGGGCGAGGAGAGTGGCTACCATGGCCTCCTGTAGGATGGTGAGAGTGGCTGCTCTGGCTCCCTGAAGGACGAGGGGAGTGGCTACTCTGGCTTCCTGAAGGGCGGGGAGAGTGGCTGCTGTGGCTTGCAGTAGGATGGTGAGATCCGCTGTGGCTTCCAGTGGGGCGAGGGGAGTGGCTGGAAGCACGGCTGCTCGACGGGATGCTTGAGCCTGAAGAAGCGCTTGATCCAGAGCTAGAGGCAACAGAGCTGCTGCTGGAAGAGCTGCTGGAAGAGCTGCTGGATGAGGTGCTGGAAGAGCTGCTGGATGAGGTGCTAGAGGCGATGCTTGAAGAGCTGCTGGAGGAGCTGCTGGAGGAGCTAGTAGTGGAAGAAACGACGGAGGAGCTGGATAGAGGCGGTCCGCAATGTCCAAAGAGTGGCTGGCATCCAGAGTCGCAATGGGCAGTGCTGCTGCCACAATATCCATGCTGGCTGCAGCAGACACCCGGCTGGCATACGTAGATCGCAGAGGGTTGAGGGCCGCATGAGCCGTCAGGAGACGTCTGGGTGGGCTTCGGGGGTGCGGCCGACGAGGACGACGTGGGAGCGCAGCTTGAGAACGTCTTGCCGCTGCCGAGGCTAATCAGGGCATCCTTCATATAGTAGGCATATTCCTTTCCGCAGATCTGGTTTCTCTTGCTGTATGTGGATTCCCAGAGCATGATGCCACCGAATTTGTCATCAGTATAGTAGTCTGAAGCAATTGTGAAGGCCTCGGCGGGGGAAAGGTAGTAAGACTTGTCAGTGAAAATGGCTTCTGTGGAGGCGGGCTGAGAATCCATTAGTCGCGCCCCTCTATATTCCTTTCCGGCGACTTACAAGACCAATGTAGTATCTAACATTGGGGTTCCGCGAGGGGTGATCACTCCAAGCATTGTAAGTGAAAGCTGCCATGTCGGTCAGGCCCGTGCGGGCAGAGCACAGCGCAGTGTTATAGAATTGGACGAAGACAAAGTCGATCCAGGAGTGCTCCAACGCATCAGACAAGTGCGAGTCGGGAACGATGCACTGAGGAGCGGCAGAGATATAGTACTCGTTCGGCCCGGCAGGGAAACAATAATCCTTGAGGTAGTTGATCAGGTCGGCATAGCCACGGGACTCATAGTCCGCGAACGGCGGGTCCGGCATCAGCGACTCGATATCAAAGTCGAAGCCATCAATGCTGGAGTCGCCGAACGGCCGGGGAAGCCCAGCGGCAACCCACTCGTCCGTTTGAGGGCCGAAAGCACCCCAGAGGAATTCCGCGAAGTCTTTGGCGGAGGTCGCGTTATTGATATAGTAGTTGGTCGGGGAACCGCCACCAATGGAGAGGAGGACTTTCTTGCCAGCGGCTTGGCAAGTCTTGATATCGGGACCAATCTGCGGGCAGTTGCTCCTCAGTTCGGTCTTCACGCCGTTGTTACTGTACATCTCCTCGCCGCAGGCATTTCCGAAATTGGTCGCTGGCCATCCACCAGGCGAATTATCGGGAAATCCATTCACGAACGAGAGGTTGATGATGTCGACGTCGTCACTTTGGCAGGACTCGGAAAGCCGTGCTTGGGATGCACCTTGGCCCTACCAAACAGGAAAACGATCAGCCGGTTCCATAAAAGTCTCAAATACGAGATCGATCGACATGCGATGAGATCTTTAAGGCTGACATACCCAGTAGACAGCAACATTATTCTTAGACGTCGGATCGAATGCCGCAGAAGCAACTGAAAGCAATGAAGTAGCTGCAGCAGCTACTGTGAAGGAACGCATCATCATGAATTAAGTACGCAATAGCAATTCAATGAGGGACTAATATTATAGATAGGGAGTGGGTAGCCGAAGCCAGTAAAGATCGTAACGAGATAAACTCAACGAGAGGACGCAGACCCGAAGTCTACAATGGTGAACCGTTAACGCTCCGCTGGATAAACTTGAAAAGCCGCGAGAGAACTGAGAAGAAGAGAATGAACGAAGAAACAGCGAGGGGGCATCTTGATGAAGAGGCGTCTCTGACTTTCCGCCCAGGACCGCAGGACTCCAGGCGGTCTGGGGTCTATTTTTGCCTACCGTGCACGGAGAAGACTAGAAGTAAGAAGCCTTGCCGTTCTAAATCCGAATGGAGTATTCTCGCTCCATTCTCCAAGCATCGTATCCTGATCCCTGGGATATGCCCATAGTGTAGCGCTGCTAGGCATTCCAATGCCCAATCCATTTGGATATTTAGCAGCGCCATCATTACGGCGAAGCGGCAATGCCTGCTTTGTCAGGTACTTAACAGGGGGTTCGTGAGGTCTCAAGTCATGGTCGCCCTGCTAAAGGCGTTAGACTGCAAGCCGTTGAATGTGGGAGAGGGAAGGTTGCATCGCATGATTATCGCGTGGATGGTTGGAACGGATGGTTGAGGGAATGAGGGGCGTCGCAACCTTGCGGTCGGTCAACCGTCCAGGCGTCGGTTAATATGGGCGTTAGCGTGATAAACATGATAAATGTAGGGATTCATCCTAGCCGCGCAGGATTTAGCGAAAGAAAACGCCTGCCAGCCTTCCGAATGGCGTTAGCTGACTACCTGTTCCTGGCATGGAGGATGCGCCCATGTGCAGGCGAGCCTAGAACACCTGGGATTCGGTACCTGCACAACTCCCTTGACAGTTGACCGAGAACAGCGAGGATAGATCTGGATTATTGGGCCGAGACTGGTTGACCGGTCAGCTTGGATTTGCGCCAAAGAGAAGCCTAATCAAAAAAGGGGTAGGATCAGCTCCATAGGGAATTGGTTATTGGACTTTGGAATTTGGATGAGAGAATTCCATGTTCGAATTATGAAAATTGGACGACTGCAGGTTGTGGACTATGTCCACCACTATGGAAAATTAGTGTTGCTAAAGATATCCTAGAGCTCGATAGTAACGGGGAAGACTTCAACAGGAGCGGACGATGTAATTAGAAAATATTTAATAGTTCATGCCCAGGCAATCCTTTGATGGCGAACATGTTGTCCGGTAGCATTAATGATATTTAATTTCGGCTCGTTGTTCCAGATGTCTATGTCGTTGTCGGAGTTAGGCGAAAAATGCACAGGAAAAGCGTGACGCTGCAAGTACTAATTATAGTGAGTTCGGCCAATTTAGATTCGACAAGTCACCAATAATGAGCCCACAAGCGCCCAATCCCTTAGTATCCACGCCACCAGTTCGTTATCACTTTCTCCGCGGGTAATACGTACAGGAAATTTAATTTGTGCTTGCAATTTGGCTCGTCGACCCGAACGGGGCGCCGCCTTCGGAATGGTTAGGTTACCGTTGGAATCATCCAGCCTTCCGTCACCCTTCCAAATCCCTTCCATCCTTCCAGCATCCATAAGTATGACAACCAGAGTGTGGTTGGTAGTATAAATTTGATCCTACAAAGCGATGAGCCTTTCAAAATCCATCCAGGAAGTATTATATGCGACTGAACCGGAAAGACGAAAACCATCAAACATCCTCGCTACCAGTGCCCAGTTCCCGCGTGGAAGATGGCTCAATTTCCGCTTGACCGGACAGCAGCTGGCTAGGATTTCCTAGGCAAATACTTGATTCAGGAATGGGGTAAATCTCGTCCGATTTGCATTTTGATCAGTCCCTACTCCCTACATGGAATCCCTTCATCTCAGTTCTCGGCTTGACACAGGGTCTCGTGAAAGAAGAAGGATGCGCTGGTTTTGGTATTCCCCACTGGCTCCTAAAGTCCCAACTCTCTGGTCTTGGGCATCGATCCAGCCGTTCACTTGATCCAGGGAAACAAAAGGGACACGTTGGTATTGCGGGTCGGCTCACATCTCTCACCGCCCCTGTTATTCGCTACTCTCCCGCGGAAGATTAGAAATATGCATGTTCCACAATGCTTATGTCTCAGTTCGGAGGAGGACAGCGACAATATTATTCTCTTTGCACTATTTCAGGTGTGTAGGGAAGTGCATGCCGGGAACAGGAGGGTTGTCGATGGGGCGAAGAGCATACCACAGGCAGGAGACTCTATGTCATTGGTTCTTGACGTGCAAAGTTAAGCAGGCATGGTAGGTGTCTCTATGGTGAAGGAGGCCGATGCCGCGTGGCAATTAGCGGAATCGACCTCGCCGCTCACCGAAATTGAACTATCCATGGTACTGGTATCTAGAAGGAAAGACTTCATAGCAAGCTTCAGGCGGTACTACCTATCATGATCGGTACCCGCTCGCAAGTTTCGAATTCGTGTTCGGTCGGAACCTTCACCGAACGATAATATCGCGAACTGTCATGACTGATCAGAGTCTTAATAAAGTTTAAATCTTCCATGAACCTATTCTCATCCTCTCGACCCTCCTACCCAGCTTCCGAAAGCCCAGGTGCCATTGTCCAAGCAGATGAGACAAGCTACCACATTCTCCGCGAAGCTGTCCGCAAGCCTAACCCCCAATCTCTCCTGGTTTGAGCCACAAGTGGGCCCAACGCTTGTTACCAGGAAATTGTGAGTAGACATCACCAAATCCGAGGGTTTTTAGCGAGAGGGGAAACATATTATGTAGGTGAAGAGAGCGACCACGAGATTTGATTTGATTCAGTGCCCCCAGTCTCCTGCCCGCTACAGGTGCCCGGTTTCGCGGAAGCGAGCGGATGGTTCCCCTAGCCAATCTTGAGGGAGCCCACTCCAGACCTGTAGAGTGTACCAATTATGCTACATGACATATCGTTCTGAGGCGAAGTTGCCTCGCCATTGAGAGAGCTGAGTGACATTTCTGCCTTGCAACCCCCAAAGCGAAATTTGTCTGGAAATCATCGCTGTGGAACGAGATGACTGAGGCTGACAGAAGGAGTTTGGACAAAGGGGTGTGGACAGTGTGAGAGCTTGGCATGGGAGCTCCTTTTCCGATGGAAGATTCTATGGTCAACGTTGCAGGTATGAATGACGGTGGCTGGCCGAATCAGTCGTTTCCCCAGCTAGACACCCCAGATATGCCAATGGATTTTCGAGCGAATAGCAGATGTCGAAGGTTCCTTCCACGGCCACTGATTTTTGGAGTTAGATATACATACCATGTTAATCGCAATCAAGGTCTTCATTACGCTTCGAAGTCCCACGATATCGTAAGAAGCAAGTCGTCCAAAGCCGCAGGGAGCTAGCCTACTACAACTCTACACCAGTTTTCCATCGAGCTTAAACTGATTTACAAACCTTGCACGACCTAGGAGAATCCACCAATCCTCAATGTCTCTCGAGTTCACGATGCAGATAAAGGTCCTGGCGACGAAGCCCTCAGATTGGAACCTCGCTGGAATGCTCTACAAAGTCAACTGGACGTTATGAAAACGATCTGGAACGAACTCCACGAGGGGGAAGCTCATATAAAACTCGGACCGTCTCAGCGGCAGGAATCTCCATCATCAGCAGCCTCATGGGTCGAAAGTTTGCATGAACAAGGCCTGGGGCTTCAAAGGATGGGATATGCATCTCTCAGGCGTAGTCTGGAACAGCTGCCGTGAGAAACGCAGTAGTGGCAAGCGATGTCCACCAATTATGTTATGTCATCATCCGGATGAGCACCACCATAGCCGATGCCTTATTGTCTTCCTGCCCGAGGACGCTACCAGCGCAGGAAATCACCCCACAGCCATAAAGTCGATCGATAGGTGCCATCCGCCATCCATCAGTGGTAAGGCGAGACCACGACAGCGAGGATCGCATAGGAGTGAATATCAATTAAGAAGCAGCAGAGGTACTTCCTCCTCCCTATGATAACGAAACTAGAATCCTGATTTCTGGTGCTCGGGCCACTGAAAAGGGGTCGCATTGGGAGATTGATCGAATTTGTCTCTCTCCCAGCTGGTGAATCCGTTATGGTCCTTGGGTATTAAAGGAACTTCGACAGGTGTATTACCAAGGTGACCACAATGGTCGATTTGGTAGAATATGTGGCTACCTCCCGGGGAGTAACGAGTCGTCTCAAGGTGATGCTGCGCAGAATTAGGGGGTTCGACTCCCCGTCCTTACCATAGTGTTTTGGGCTTTTTGGGGATTTTTATTGGCAATTCTTTCCATTACGTCTCTTCGGGCATTTGGCCTCGCACATAGTCTTTGAGGAGATCCAGTCTCTGCAATAAGGTTGGATATGCGAAATATGAGTACAGCCAACAGCTAAGTCGAATTGTGCAACCCGTTGCCATGGATATGAGTTGCTCATTCCTTCCACAACGAGTTTTTGAGCGTCATTTATCACGAATGCAAGTAGATAAGAATCCCATTTGTTAATAATCAATACGGCAGCTCTACCTTATAAAAAGTATAAGTCTGCACGTTGCAAAAAGGAGGGGCTATGTTGGTGGCGCATGCTATGGGCGCTTAAACTTCATATTAATCTACTACCCAACACAGGTACGGCATCGTTCGGTCATGCTACGGGAAACCAAGAGCAAGGCTATCTTCTAGGAATTCTTAACTTGTCCTTCGTCATTCTTGTCGTCCATATTTACCATATTTTACAACTCTGTTAATCCACCCTATCTGATACCAAAGGGTCCCATATCCCGAATTCCCATTAGAAGCAAGGACGAGGCTTGCGAGGAAAGACAAAGGCTATGAGTCCTGCCCTTTCTCACTGCGCCTCCAATGAACGGAGCAACCACACTCCCTGACGGCGTGCCAGGCGCCGTATTGGAGTCGAAGATCGAAGTCCAGTTCATAGAAGGATACACGAAGCATAGCACTTGGCACAACTTTCGTCAACTCCAGACTCAAGGAACATGGGTGCGCCATTCGAAGCTTGGTAGAGGAGCGTTCGGTAGTGTATCACTTGAGACCCGCCGCTCGGGGCTGACAGGGAACATTGGTGTGCAACCAGTGCTTAGAGCTGTGAAGAAGATTAAGAAAGTGGACCACAGGGGAGATGGATTGAACTACTGGAAGGAGTTGGAAGCGATAGCGAAATTCTCGCAAGACCAGGTAAGATTACGGATAATGTCTTGTGCATTTGAGCCGACTTACCCATAGTATCAACCCTTCTTCGTTCGATCATACGGATGGTACGAAAACAATGACTCGGTCTTCATAGCCATGGAATACTTCCCGTATGGAGATTTGCGGAAGTACATGCAGACGAACTGGGGATTTCCAGAATTGGAGGTAAGACTTATCATCAAGCAGATGTTGTCCGGCATCCACTTCTTACATGACGAGGGATTCGTCCACCGAGATCTGAAGCCCGAGGTAAGTGTCGACAGGTGGGTGTCAAAATCTTCAGTATATGTAAATAGTACGACTAACGTACCCAAGAATCTCCTGGTTGAACACATGGGTCCACGATGGAGGATAAAGATCGGTGATTTCGGAATCTGCAAAAACACCCAAGCAACAGTTCTTCAAACGAAGATAGGGACATTGTTCTATATGGCTCCGGAGGTATCACTGAGAATGTGGACGAAGCCTGATACTGAACCACTCGACTCGTATTCCTCTGCGGTCGACATATGGGCAGTCGGAATAATCGCCGTGGAACTTCTTCTTAAGCGCTACGCGTTCCTATCTAGTCCCATGGTAGGAAACATGCAGCTCAATCTCACTGGGGAAGGCGAAGAGCCACTTTCAGAACCGTGTCGAGACTTTGCGGGCAGGTTATTGGCGCTCGATCCCAGTTCGAGACTAACTGCCAGAGCCGCTGGAGATCACGAATGGATCATTACAAGTAGTTTACCCCTGGAGGAGGACTACAGGTGACGTCTCGAATCTAGGCGTGCCTGACCTTGTTAACCCCGAACAGATTCTCGATCGCGGAGACAGAACCGTCTGTCACAGATTTTACCGTGTCATCCGCCTCATGCAGATGGTCAGACCTAGGATCCAACAGCAAAGCCTCAGGGTCATCGACCGGGACATTACCCACCACATCCCAGAATAGCACGATTGATCCTAACCTCCTAGCCCCCAACTTCAGAAGCCTCTCATTGCAAACGGTAGGGTTGATCCCCCGATGTAGTTGTTTGCGCTCGCTCACCACCATAACACCAGGGCAAATTCTTCATCATCAAGTCCAAAAACGACGAGAACGTCGAAAAGAGCATCGAGCGTGGCGTATGGACGTCGTATAATCGGAATAACATCAAGCTTAACGAAGCATACTTGAGCGCGACGGGGCCAGTCCTACTGTTCTTTTCAGTGGTCGGAAGGTAAGAGTCGGGTTTATCCCATACAATAAAAACCTCAACATCGCTAAAATTTCCGTACAGCAAAAAGTTTTGCGGCGTCGCGAGGATGACGAGTGAGGTCGATTGGGATAACACTGATAACCACTGGGTTGGTGGGGTATGGGAAGGGTATGTATTGTCCTGTCGAATGAACCAACATTGACTGATTGGACGTATACTAATTGTCGTCATCAATGCCTAGGCGCTTCACGCTCGAGTGGCTTTCGATGAAGGAGGTCTGGTTTCGTCGGGTCAACCGTGTTACCGTGAATGCGAACAGTAACGACCTAGTATTGGCAGCAAGGGATGGGACTGAGGTATCGGCAGACGCAGCATATCAGATGCTTCGAGCATTTTCGGAGAACGGCACGAACCAGCAGCGGTAGTGATTCATGAGCGATGTGGATGGATTACTGATTGCTCATAATTACATTATCATGCTAGATCTATACGCTCGTAATGCTCATCAAATATATCTAAATACATCATATTATAACACCCAGCTCACTCGCTTTCCCTTCTGCACCACCTTCACATCGTCAAACAACACCATCTCTCCCCTCCCTTCCCCCCTCCTCACTCGATCAACTCCCAAATGCTCCTTCCCATCCCTACCCAAATACACTCCAAACCCATACATCGCGGGCCCACCTACTCCCGCCACCCCCTTCTCCACATCCCCTCTCGGTTCCGGCACCGCCAAACTCTTCCCACTCTTCACCCTCACCTCCTCCCCAACTCTACCCCCACCGCCCACCAAGCTCGCCACGCTCCCCAAGAACCCGCTCCGCTGCACCACCACCCTCTGCCTGCCCAGCATCCGCGTGACTAGGTCCGCCTTGCTAGCGCACCGCGCGAACGCCGCGTCGCTAACCATCGGCGACATGTACAGCCAGGAGATAGTCTCAGCGAGGGAGCTGGAGCGGTGGGGGAGGGAGAGGGATTTATGGCGGGGCGTGAGGAGCAGGATGAAGTAGGGGAGTGCGTGGAGGGAGAGGAAGGCGCAGAGCGCGTAGAGCGCGGGTGGGTGTGCGGAGATGAGGGTGGTGCCGGAGAGGGCTGATTGGCGAGGGAGGAGGGAATGCGGAGGGATGGAGGTGGAGGTGAAGGCGGGGGCAGGGATGGAGGCGCGGGAGGAAGGGGTGGAGGGATGGAATTGGGCCCAGAGGAGACCGGAGGCGAGGACGGGGATGGCGAGGTTAAGGAGCGTTATGAAGCTGGTGTAGGCGGGGAGGACGTGCCCGTTTGCGGCGGCGGCGAGAGTGGCGGAGAGGGGGAAGCGGTGGACGTAGTCGACGAGGAGAGATCGGTCGGCCGTGGCGCCGTTGGAGGAGGAGAGGGAGGCGTAGGGTTGCAAGGCGCGGATGTGGAGGTCGATGGCCTGGAAGGTGAGGAAGAGGATGAGGCCGAGGAGGGCAGGGATGAAAGCGTAGAGGAAGTTAGGTGCGGAGAAGCCGGCATCGTCGGCGAGGGCGGGAAGCATGGGGAGGAAACCTTTCATCGTGGCGTTGTTGACAAAGCTAACAACCAAGAAGGCGATGAGGAGGACGAAGGCAATGACGAACCAAGCCACGGCGAACGTGTCGCGCAGGAACCAAGGGAGATAGCGCCGTCGGATGTCGAGAGAGCGAATATCGGAGCGGATCGAATATCCAGCTTCGATGTCTCGATGGCTTCCAGCCGGTATGTCCGACGGAGTTGATTTCTCCAGGATTCTGCCTCTTTCAACCGAATACCTGCGAGTAGGTCCTCCTTCCTCTCCAATTCCATAGAAAACATCACCTGGGCGCTGGCTTGTGTACCAGTAACCCAGGCGATCAGTCCGGTTCCACAACCGCTTGTGGAATTCTTGGGTCGTTGCAAATGTTTCGCTGTCCGCATAATCGGACATGATATTCGCTCTCTCGAGCATTGCAGCTATATCTGCAAGGGATCGTGGATCCCACCGCAGACCGGTAGCTGCGCGTGCAGGCCAAAGGCCAGCCGCAATCAAAACAAGAGCGAGAAGTTGTAAAACATATAGTCCAACAACCACCCAAACCACAATCTGGGCGGCAACCCATCGCCAAACGCCCCCGTCCACCGGCCCAAAGAATTTGACATTATAGCTCGATGCGAGCAGAGGGATCGTAAAAATCTGGAGCCACAGCAAAATCATACAGACGCCAAGCACTGGCTGTCCAGCGCGAAATTGCCGGAACGCTCGACTAGGTATCAGGAATTGTTTGGCCGCTAGATCGAGGAAGACGGCTTTTGTACGGGCCTTCCTCGATGGGCTGGACAATGCAATAAAGGGAGAAATTCTAGTCAATGCGATGTCGATCTGCATGACCCAAATGAGGAGAAGCATGCCAACGAGGGTGGGCAAATATCGAAAGAGGAAGTATCGGGAATCGCCGAAGTCTTGGTAGTCGAGGATGCCAGGGTTCTTGCGAGTGCTGAAAGAATATACAGCAGAGAGGATGAGGACGAATATAAGACCAACTAAAATGATCATGTACAAGATTAGCCAGATGGGGCGGAGGATAGAGGGGATAAATCGAAGAGGTGGATGTTCTGCTGAGTCTCGTGTGGGTTGGAATGGCGCAAAGATGTCTGTGAGTCGTCTCGCCGGAGAACTTTCTGGCCGGGAGGAGCCGTGCGGGCCATGATATGGAGAGGGAGGGTCGGGATATATTGGTTCGGTCTTTGGCGGTAAATGATGGCTCGGTCCCAGTATTTCCGACGATGCGCGTGTGTGTCCGAATGCCGCAGCATGGCCATCTCCGAGCGGTGGAGTGTGGAAGGACTCTTCACTGGGCGTGAAAGCCCCTTCTGGCACATCCACTGCAGTCGCACGTCCAGGTGTGCCAGATGATTGGCCTGGTAAACCCGGATACTGCCGTGATGCCCTGCTGACTTCTTCATCGCGGGTAATCTGGTCAATCGCAAATCGAATGAACGGACTTGTGTCGACTCCGGGAGTTGTTGCAGGCGAGTACGGGTCCATTGCCTTCTCTTTATTACCACCCGCCAACGCAGGGTGGGTAGGTAGCCCAGCCTCAAGCGCCTTCAGGTCGTCCGCACCACCTCTTTCTTGGGTCTGAGAGCCGTCCGAGTGGCTTGACAAAGCCGGCTTCCGTCTCACCTCTTTTGTATTCGCTCGAGTGTGCGGTGATCCAAAGGAGGTGACAATATTGTGGACTTGTCCGTCGCCAGTAGTCAGAAGCCTCACCGTGTGCGGGTCTTGCTGTGCTGCGGCCGCTCGTTTCTTCTCATCGCTGGTTTCTGGAGTGATGTACTGCGATGGCGGAGTATTGTATATGATGGTGCGTTGCGGGGTGGCATCGGGATCGAAGGCGCCGTCCCGGTCGCCGGTTGAGGAAGACGTGTCGGCGAGGGAGAAATAATCTTCAGAGGCGGCAATGCTATGGTTGGAGATTTGATGGAGCAGTTGCGGTTGACTGACTACAAATGACGAGGAAAATCAGCGAAATTCGGACAAGGATGCGGCGCTGGAGAATATGCAGGATCCGATATGATGCGGTCACTCACCATTAGTGTCTTTCAGAGATACAAGCGGCTTCGGCTCTGTCATAGTAAAAAATCAAAACAATTTGCAGAAAGACTCAAACTCATAAGCTGACATTAGACAGTATAGACATGGACATAAGGCTGAAGAAGAGAACAATTGGGACTCCACTGCGATACATCTTATGAAGGTAACAATGTATGAGTTTGGTGTGGCCGGGATGCGGCTGGTAGCATATGTGTGGCTGGGGATAGCCCCCTGCTACAGAGATTGACGTGTCATGCTGTGCTGTCGATCCAAGTTAGTGGCTGATACGTTAGTAGCATTTTCGACCAAGCCAATTTCATTATTTTAAGTTGGCTTATCCCTTAGGAGTTATTAATTGGAGATTCAGTTGATGATGAAGTTGATACAGATCAGTTTGAGGTGAGCAAGAGGTTGGAACTGAGACAGGGGTTCCAGTTGTCCACGTGACTACAGTATTCAAGGCTCCAACCAATGGTTGGCTTACCTCAGCAAGCTCAGGCTATTTCTCAGGGGAGTCTAACCTTTTTTGTAAAAGGTCACGTTACTTTAACTACTCCTCTGGTAAATAGCCTGAGGATTCTGTCAATGACGCGCACTGCTCTGCATAAATTTTGTATGTGGTTTGTATGTATCTCTGCGGATTTGACAAAATCACGATCCATTAATAACCACATCAAAACACGTCGTATGTACTCCAAAATCTGATCGATTGTGTATTAAAGTATTCTCTATCTCGTAATTGATTTTTTTTTACATGTCCATGCTTGTGTCGGGTGAAAAACGCTAATATGTGATGAACTAGACCACACCGAAATCACCATCCAGCCATCGTTCCGGAGCTTACGGTCGAATGAGCCTGGAAAACACCCATTGGATGTCATATAACGCCTTTCTCGGTCGGTATTCACACGAATATCTATTATTGAACACATTTTGTGTTCATATTTCCCATGCGAAGCAAGGCGAGCGTTCGAAACGGGCGACGAGAGACTGTGGACATCGCCAGAGATCTCGTCCACGATGCCTATAGCACTACGAGTATGCTAGCTATACAGCGGCTGGTCGAAATTGCAAGAGACGTGCCCGAGGAAGTGCAGAAGGTCATCATCCGAGCAGGCCTAGACCGCCATCTCTACCCATTCGAGCCTCGTTAGAAGCAGGTAGATGTTATATGGCATTTAGTATTCAAGTAGGAGGACCTTCCTCTTGTAGCGAAGATATCTTTTGGTAAAAGTGTCATATTCCAGGTAACGCTATTGCTTTGTCGCGGTGGCATCGGCTTCATCCTTATCCCTTTGGATCGAATTAGACAGGAGTATATCGACGGACCGTCCCCTAGTTATAATCGGTCGACGTCTATATACTAAGAGGCGATAAGGATGCCTTTGTTTATTCTGCCACGGTTTCGAGATATCTGTGGGCCCTCTTGTAGCCTTTATAAACCCCAAGCTGGTGAAGAATATCGAGGACACGCCGTTTCACACCATTTGAATGCAGAAAGGCGTCAAATACGCGGGGAAACCTATTGCTCCCTTCCGACCCCCGAGAATAGCAGAGAATTAACGTGACTATCGCAATCCTGTGGTTAAACTTAACAGGATCCCGTGGTAGTCGATCTTTTCTCATCTTAGGTGTCATAAGACTATTAAGCAATCTACATAGAAGAGGAGCACGAGTGCTAACTTGCTCGTATATCTGCCTAGACAGTATGTCGCCTAGTATACACTCGTAGTCCTCGATTTTCTAACCCTCTAACTGTTTCCCCCTCCCTACGCCGGTAGGTAAAGTCTTCTCCTAGATGCAGTCGACTTAATAGGCACTAAACATATCTACGGCTTCTTCTAGTGCCTTCATTTCCTTCCTTAGACCCTTTATAGTGATAGTTCCTGCCGCACTAGACGCGGGATTCTTATTAGTGCGTCTAAGACCTCTGGGCTCTGGCTAACCGTAGACAGCCTCAGCGAGCTATTTGGCTCGCGTGACAGAGCACTCTCTATAACCACCCAACCCTTAAGTCGTCGCGTAGATGTAGATAAATTCTCAAAATTTAATGCTCTTTTCTTCATGAATTGACATATCTCATTTATTCTCTGTGGCTTACTGCGTCTTTGAGACCCTCTTACTTTCTGATGTGGTGCATTAGATGTGTTTGACGCAGCACTATGCTGAGGACTTGGAGCAAGTAGCAAAGTGGGCGAGTTCAACCGCGCGCTCTGACGACGCTGGTTTCAGGCCGACATGACCCAAAATTCAATCAATTATGGAGAAAAAGCAGGGGAATCGAATGGTTATATTTAATTGACGGAGCACAGTGTGGTAGTGGAAGAAAATGGAGTTAAAAATGGTCTTCCATTTGGTATGAAAGCTCTCCACACACACCCAAAACCCATTGACAGAATCCTCAGGCTATTTGTTACCTCAGCAAGCTCAGGCTATTTGTGTTCGTGCCTGAGGCAACAAACCACACTATACCTAATCGGTAAATGCAGTTCTCGAACAAATAGCCTGAGGATCCTGTCAATGACGCTCACTGATAGATCGATAATTTGTATGTGTTTTTCGGGATTTTGGAAAATCTCACTTTTGCATATTCTTCAATAACAACACGATAACTCATTGGATTTGTCCTCAAATTCACTGGGCTCTGCAGCAGGGTTTACTTTATCTGGAAATTGAATCTTTTTCCACTCCCGATGCCTGAGTCTTGTGAAAAACTCTGATATGTAGGAAACGAGAGAGCATCAAAATCGTCAACCAACCACCTTTCCCACGCTTAAGACTAAAGGGGCATAAAGAGGGCCTAGAGAAATACTACCTAAGGTCAGTGGAATGTCTGCAGATACCATATAAAGCTTTCCTGTGTCGGGATTGACGCGTCCGTAGCATCATTGGGCACGTGTTATGGCCACATCCCCTATGCGGAACAAGGCGAGCATTAGAAGACGGCGACGAGAGACTACAGGCGATACAAGTTGTCTTATCCAAGATGCCAATAACACTACGAGTATGCTGGCCATACAGGATCTGGTTGAGAAGGCAAGACACTCACCTGAGGAAATTCAAAAAGGCATCATTCATGCAGGCTTGCAGCGCCATCTTTATCCATTCCAGCCCCGCCCGAAGCAGATAGATGCAATATGGCATTTAGTCTTCCAGAAGGAGGACCTCCTCCTCGCAGCCAAGACATCTTTCGGCAAGAGTATCATATTCCAGGCAGCGCCGTTGTTTTGTCGAGGTGGCATTGCCCTTATTATCATCCCTCTCGATCGAATCGGACAAGAGCAGTGTATCAAGATCCAGAGACTTCCTGGAGCGAGATCCCTGTTCATTAATGGTAGGACGGATAAGACTGATGCGTTGGCCCAAGAGATTAAGACGGGTATATATACTCATCTCCTCATGGGCCCAGAGATCGCAGCCGGTTGGTTTCGATCAATAGCAAGCAACCCGTCCTTTAAAAAGCGCGTCTCAGTCGTGGCTGTGGATGAACTCCATTTAGTGGCCCTGTGGGGAAGTGGTATCCGTCCACAGTATGCACAACTCTCTCTTCTACGTCGAAGACTAGGAGCGTATATCCCTTGGTTTGGATGTTCTGCCACGTTAGACCAAGCGACGTTGGATATAGCGAGGAAAATGACAGGCTTCCAAGCCAGCTGCGAGATTTTCCGAACCTCTATCGACAGGCCGGAGATTAAGCTGATCGTGGAGACTATCGAGCCGCGGACCACGAAAAGGTTCACTAGTCTCTTCTTCGTTCTACAGGACGCCATGACGAATGGGCTACCGACGCCTATGAAAATTCCGAAAACGATAATTTTCATAGATTCACGACGCGATATCCAAAAATGCGCAGAATGTTTGCGAGACTGGCTGTGCAGACTGTCGTCAGGGGCCATAAGACACCGCGACAGCAGAGAGATTATCCAGGTCTACCACTCACACACCACGCTGCATGATAAGGAGGCCCTGTACAGCGAGTTCTCCAAAGTGGATTCCAAGATTCGAATTATGGTCGCAACTGAGTCACTGGGAACGGGAGTGGACCTCTCGGATGTCATACGTGTCGTCCAATATGGATTCCCCTTGGAGCGGCTTTTAAGCGTTCTCATCCAACGGTTTGGTCGTGCAGCTAGAATGGCCAGCATCAAGGGGGAGGCTGTCTTCCTGGTGGAAAGCTGGGCTGTAGGCGACAGGGTTTCATCAACAAGAGCGGCGTTCTCCAGAAGCCGGAAGCAGTCGTCTTTAAGACAGCTTTCTTATACGAGCCAGCTAGCTCAGTCATGCCCCGTCGAGCCAGAAGCGGAGAGTGATGTTCCAGACCACGAAGCGGATGTTGCTGTAGACGCCATTGACTATGGCGTCCCAGAAGACCAGCGCAAACGCAAAACACAGAGAGAGCGCCGGACAGAGCTGTACAATGACTGCCCAGCACTATACAATTTTGTCAATCGATCCAATTGCCTACGCCGAATCCTGATGGATTGGCTGCAAGAGAGTTTGTCAGATCCCGCATCTAAGTTGCCTCCTCCTAGACCGGACGAGTGTTGTAACGCCTGCAACCCTGGCCTGACGCGGACGGTGCCTTTCCCGTGGGACATTGCTCCCAGTCTTCGGAAACCCCACGCTGGGACAGCACCAGGTGCATTTTATGACCGCCTAGCCCTCTGGGGAGACAATGTTGTTAACTCGGCGCATCAGACGGCGAAGCCCGAACTTTCCGTGAAGCTATTTACTCAGAAGAGTGAGTGGATATCATTATCGACAGAATATGCCTACATCCATACAGCCGCTGAGTTGGAGGAGTTTGTGAAATCGACCTGGTTGAAAGACCATTCCGATGAACTCTTTAAGGAGTTTAATAATATCAAGTCCTACGTCGTGAGGAACTGGCCTGGAGGTAGCAGGCTAGAAACGTCACGGACGTCAGGAGCTGCAGGCCCAGTGCAGATTTCCCTTGATTATCAAGAAGTCTACAAGGGTCCAGAAGGGAGAGAGACTCAAAAGGGGCAATCTTCAGTCGCGATTGAGCATCCCACTCAGCCAGAGAAACCTGCGTCCTTCTTGCGTAAGAGCGATGATTATATTTCCTCATTGGAGAAACTCATTGCTCGCGCGAGAGAGAATACAGCATTATGCTCTCCATGTTCACCTGACCGAGCGTTGTCAGAAAGACAGCCTATGATTATTGCCGAGCAACAGTTTCGACAAAGTTCGTTGCTCGAGAGACAAGGTCCCCCTGCCACGAAGCAGATGTCCCAACAAGGAGAGCCTCAGGAAAGAAGAGTATCGACCGAAGTAAAGACTCTAATAACTCCCGATCAAGGACGAAGAGCATCATTTTTGCGTGACCGAGAAGAGTACGCTTCCTCGCTAGAACGAATCACTGCCAACGCAAGAGAGATATCAGCCTCGTGCTCTCCTTATCTAGCTACCCAATCAGTGCCGATAGTGGTAGCAGATTCGTCATTAACATCCATTAGGTCGGTTACATCGACAAACGTAGATTGCTCCTCTGGCATATCTAGTGTTTTCGAAGACAGTGAGAATGGTTTGTCCAGCGTAAGTGGTGGCAATCAGTCGTCGAAACGTCCCGCACCGAGTGAAGGAGAAGGAGAAATGATAAAGCGGGTCGCTCTCAGCGTTTTAGACTCTAATATAAGGCGAAGTCCTCGCAGTGAAAAAGAGAAGAATAGGCGTTATTACCACGGAGAGCGGATATTATAGATGGACTACTCCGACTCGATATCCGAAGGTAAGCCCCATTCGTGGGCTTCATCTCTATCTTCCAAGGGCTGGTGACGTAGGTTAGCACAAGACTGAATACTCTACTAGAACAAAACATACTAGTATCGCCATCATGTCGTTATCGGGATCCAGATCAGCCGTCGCTCCTCCTGTCTCGTAAGGTGGCACTATTATTTGATCTTCGTCTCTCATGACCTTGGCGTTAAATATTTCTAGCTTCTTTGTCGCCACCCTTTCGAGCCCGATCGTATGTATGTCCGGCGCTTGATGTCTGGCTTTCCTACCGCCCCTGTAAAATTTAATCGAATCGCACGCCAATTCAAATGCCAGTATATGAATATCATCCACTGGAGAGGGCACGGAATGCTTGGAGCTTTCCTTCCGCGCAAATGCTTTCTCTATCGTCTTGCGTAGGAAAACAGTGTATTCTGCTGTTAACGAGGTAGTCTTAAACAGTGCATCTAATCCGAAAGTCGACGTTCGACGGGCCCAAAGCTCTCTTTTCAGCTCCAGGTTCAGATATTCAAGGCT